ATGGAGGGTCAGAGAGCTCTCAGATTCCATCAAAAATATCTTAATTTGTGTTCCAAAGATGAACGAAGGTCTTACGGGTTTGGAACGACATGAGGGTGAGTAATTAATGTCAGAATTTTCATTTTGGGGTGAACTAACCCTTTAATTCTGTGGAATGACCAGCTGGTGTTGATAGTTTCACCTGTGGAAGTTGCTTCGCTGTTTCGGGGTGCAGATCTCTGCGGAGGTCTTGAGCTCCACATAACATCCCGGCGCCGCAGGAGCATCGGGGTCTCTGACGCGGCAGTCCACCTCTCCAGAGAAGAGCAGCTTATGGTCAGCCAGACGCGTCTGAACCACCGTACAGAACGCCTCGTTTGTGTTCACGACGCCCCCTGGGTCTGGAGTCCCATCCACATCATCTTAAAAGGAAGGAAAACGGTCGATAAGTGGTGAGATCTTTCACTATCACCAGTCTGACAGTACAAAGTACTAGTCGTCCCAAACCTGCGCATATGTACTGCTCAAACTTGTAGCCCCAGTACATCATCTCCTCCTGTCGCTCGGAGCGGGTCTCTCGGTTCACTCTGGCAGTCTCTGTTTCCACCTCACTGATGTAGATGGTGCCTCTGAATTTGGAGGCGGCCAGCATCCATCCCTCTTGAGTCTCGTATGGGGTGGTCAGCACTTTGGTTAGGTGTCCTCTCCATGTCACAAAGTCCACTCCTAGAGCGCTGCAAACACACTCAATAGCTCAACAGAAAACAATAAACAACTGACAGAAACTAGACATCTGCGCTGCAGTGCTAGTTTAGTTTTACATTCGTTTTATTTTAATTTCCCCGAATGTACTTTTGTTGCGCGATTCGTCATTTTTATTTCAGTTTTAGTTTTTGTTATTTTAGTGCATCAACTTAATGAAAATGAGAAATGTGGCGTTGGCAACTAGCTGAAATAAATGCTTTTATATTTTATTTTACTTTATTTCAAGCAACATTTATTTCAAGTCATTTTGATTTATAATTATTTTTTTTAATGGTTTTTTACAATAATCCAGCTGTGCAGTACATACAATCTGGGTCAATTATGTGGCACTCATATATTCAAAAACACATAGAAATGTAGAAAAAAGGACATAAAATGACTTCAATATGCCTCTTCTATTATAACGAAGTTCTGAAAATTCTATTTGACTTTTTTTTCCCTGTCCTGACATCGCAATGAAAAAAAAACGTATTTAAGTAATTTGTTATAGTCTATTATTACCATTTAAATGATTATTACTCATTTTCATTTTAATTTCAGTTTTTTTTTTTTTTGTACATCAGGTTAAACTGAATGAAAATGAGAAATGTTGCAGTGGCAACCAGCTAAGAAAAATATTTGTTATTTTATTTCAAGTAATGTGACTTAACACGTAAGTTGTATTTATTAATATATTAAAAGAAAATACATTAAAATGTAATTTATACAAAAACGGAGTTGTTGTGTGGGAAAAGTCTTAAGCACTTTAGCATAAGCTTTTTTTAATGTTTATATTCTTCTGTTCTACATTCCCCCCTGTTTTGATTTATCATGTTTCACTGGTTAAATTAAATTGTAGTAATCAAAAAGCACATCTAATTAATTGTTGAAATAATAAAACGTTTATTATTTATTTATTTGTACAATATAGGGCCCTATGAAATGCTATCTATCTATTTAATAATTATTAATTAATTATGAACCTATTGTAGGTCTGTCTTTAATTATACTTTACAGTAAAAATATATTTCCTTATAGAGAAGTAAAAAAGAGCAGAATGTACATCTCACCCGGATGAGGGGGTGTGGTCTCTGCTTTGAATCTTGTCTCTGTTGGCCAGAATCCACTTCAGCACGTGATCAAGCTTCTCTTTCACGCTTTCATCTCGCTTTACGAAGCGGCTGGTGTATCCGTCCCTTAAATTCAAATCTGGACTTTTCCGGGGCTGGACATAGTACCGCAGCCGCCTCTGGTCGTTGTAGAAGCTCCTGTGAGAGTCCAGAGAGAAGCAGCCCACCTCCACAGGCTGCTTGTAGAGCGGGAAGTGTCTCTCATACAGCTGTCTGTGAGCGCTCAGAGTCTCGGCTGCTCTGTGCTGCCTTTCATCTGATGGTCTACGGCGCTTATTCGTGTTATAATCACTGCTGGAGTCTGTGCATCTTTTATGAGCAGACTCGTGATGATGGTCTCGTTGAGCCATGGCGGGATGAGTTATTAACCCCCCGCTGATCTCAGCATTAGCAAATAGATTTTGCTAATAAATCAGTGCGATTATGAATGAATACAATGCAGTTCATTCACTGACTAACACAACTAACCAGGCTAACCTATCTGAAAACAAAAACAGCACTACTCCCACCAGCTAACGTGTCTTTCTCAAGAAATTAATTATCATCTAAAGGGAAAGTTTAATATGTGACGTACCAAAACCTGAACGTGGTCCTTAATTAGGATTAAACCGATATCTCACTCAGATAGCACATAGGCTACTGTTCGCTTATCGTGTAAACAACAGCTATAAAAACACGCTTTCAAAATAAAAGCCTAAAATTCTAACTTCAAAATAAAAGTCAGCGCCCATTTAAAAGTCCGTAAAGTCTGTAACAAACAAATAACATGATAAATGTTAAAGGCGGCATTAAATTAAAATTCACCCTGTCTGTTTTCTAAATGCATATTATGGATCTTGTTGTGAACAGTTTGACCATGCATGTATTTTATTTTATTATTATTATTATTATTTTTAAATGACCTCGTTATGTTTAATCAAAATGTCCTCACTGGACCTTCCGGTAAAAATCATATTACTTATCATAACTTATCTCTGGTGACTTATACTGGACTTCTCCAATTATTTAGTCCCAGTCTATATGTTTAGTCCTCTTAAACTCTGTCCCTACAAGCTCACATTCATCTATCTCCACGTTTGAATGCAAACCCCACATCTCAAAACCCAATCAACAACAATGCATACAACCAATAAATAAAAATAATAATAAAAAAAGGAATAAATAAATGAATAAACAAATGAATTAATATACATTTAAATCGAAATTGTGAGATATAAAATTGCTAGATATAAAGTCAGAATTGTGACTCTTTTCTCTTTTTTTTTTTTTTATTAAATTTTTTAACTTAAGATTCCATACGATATGGAAGATCTGTCCATGCTTTCGTTTCATCACAAAAAATGTTTCATTTACGTTCTTGTACACAATTACTAAAATCAAAACTCAAAAATGGACGTTTGGAGCAGTGGCGTAGCCAGAATTGTAATTTTGGGGGGGCCTATCATAAAATGAGGGGGCCGCTCTATATTACACGTAGGCTATAATGTCTATATTAAATGTGCGCATTTCCAAGTGTTTGTGCGGCGTGTGGAAGCTGACTAGCAGTGCGCTTAAACTGCATGACAGGAGGCGCCGCTGCGATCACTTGCACTTATACTCCGTCATTTTTGTCGTACAGACAAGAATAATTACATCGTTCGAATCTGGTAAAGGTCTACATTTGTTTGTGTTCACTCACAATCAGTGTTGGGGAAAGTTACTTTTAAAAGTAATGGGTTTGCGTCATATTCTGAGTTTGCATTTCACTGTTTTAATTCATTTTGATGAATACTAAATCTGTTTTTTGTGAGTGGGATGAATTAATGCACATTCACATTTAGTCTAGAACTTTTTACAGTAACATCATGTTCACACAGCGCACACAACGCCTCTGTACTCCCGATTTCTCCCAATATGGGGACAGGAGACTTGTCAGTCAATAAATGGGAAAACAAAGTAACTGGCGTTACTTTTTTGAAAAAGTAACTCAGATATTTTCTTGCAAATTAAAAAAGTAATGCGTTACTTTACTAGTTACTTGAAAAAAAGTAATCCGATTACGTAACTCACGTTACTTGTAATGCGTTACCCCCAACACTGCTCACAATAACAACAAAACCAAACTTGAACGCGTCAAAAATGAACCGAACTCGTGCCTCACAGACATGAGAAACATGTCTATAGAACGCGTGCAAATGACGCCACTGGTTTGGAGGCAACATTTACCAACAATGGAAAGAAACTGATCGAAGACATGTTTTTATTTATTTAAATATTTGCAATATTTCCTTTTTATTGCCATCTTATGCATCATGTGCTTGTGAAATCTATTACTCTGAGTTTGCTACCCTGACAACACAGTCCTGAAATAAAGTCCCAAAATAATATATTTCTTGCTGTGGTGATGCTTTAAAATGTCAAGTACAGCAATCAGCTTCAGACAATATTAGACAATTAATTAACGTAACAGACCTATACTAACCTTCATGATTTTTAGAATTAAAGTTCACCAAAAAAAGATAATTCTATCATCACTTATGTTGTCCCAAACCTGCATGTATTTGTTCTGTGGAACACAGAAAACGATATTTTGAAGAATGTTGGTAACCAAAGTTTCAGTTCCCATTGCCTTCCATTGTATTTTTGTCCATACAATGAAAATCAATAGGAACCGAAAGTGTTGGATTACCAACATTCTTTAAAATATCTTATTTTTTGCTTCACAGAAGAAAGCAAGTCACATGCTTAGAATGACTTGAGGGTGAGTAGATGACAGAATATTCATTTTTGGGCTCAAAATTCAAAATAGGGTTGCACCAGTAAGGATGGTAAAGAAGACCTTTAGAATTAGAGGAAAAGCCATTGCATCTTAACTATTAAAGATATGAAAGCTGCTATAATATATCCCTTCGATGTATAACACTTCACACTTAACATTTCTGGCAAGCATAGATTTACCACACACAGCATATTTTGCAACATAAATGGGAAAGAGATGACAGGTTTGGTGAAACTGGAATGAAGTAGAAATCCCAATGGATAGCAAATGCTTTAATTTCACAATGGCAGTTGACATCAAAAGCATGATTTCCCAAGATTTGGCATGTGCATTTCTGAATCCTTTAGAAAAGAGTATTTAAGTTTAAAAGAACAGATATGCGGGAACCAGCAAGAATACAAGAGCTTTACAATTTACAAAGTATACATTGGCCAGCAGCAGCAAACATTCCTTAGAGCTCAAAGATTATACAACAGTCTAATTATCAAGCATTCTTTGAGGACTTAATTCATATTCATGGATAATAATGCATCACATTAATCCCAACCAAGAACATATAATGTAGAACAGCATACTCAGTTACATGGCAGATGCTCCGCAACCCATCAAATATATTATGAAGATAAACTACAGTATGTACAAGTTCCAGTTTGTATTGTCTAACAACAGACCATGCAAAAGTGCTAGGTCAGTAAAATTGGTATAACTTGGTTTTCTGAGTCCATGGGAATGGGACTGATCAAAGTTAAAAACAAGAGCATAATGAAACCACTATCAAATTGAACCCTACATTCGTATAAATGAGATATTTACAGTACATGTCAAACACTGATTAATTTGAGTGAGAAATTCAGAAGCCTGAGGATAAAGTCACGTTAACATAATATCACAACTGAAATATTAACCGAGCAGAATATATAATTAAATACCCCACTACAGCAAAACAACATTGGCTACAAATCCTATCCATATTCAACATATGTAGGAAAAATGGCTCAGCAAGAAGGAAACAAAAAAAAAGTAAGAAAAAGAAAGAAAAAGATTCAGCTCTGCCTATCAATGTGACAACTCCTGAGATATTTTTAACAATGATCTGTAACGTTTTTGTATGTCAGAATGCACTTTTTGGCCTATTGTAAATTAACTCCCAGTGTAAAACATGAGGTTGGACAGGTTGAAAAGCCACTCTGTGTGTGTGTGTGTGTGTCTTTGGGAAAATGTAAGTATCTTTTAGTATTTAAAGAGAGACTGATTTGATTGTGTCAAATAAACAAATTACTGGGGTATGTTTTCATAAACTAAGGCCAGAACTGAGGTTTACTCAGGTTGCGGGGTGCTGGGACCCCAGAAAAAGAGACTGGGAAGGCGGAAGGCAGAGTCTCTCCGTGCTGGGTCAGGAAGAGTTAGGGTCTCCGGAGCTGACTTCTTCCGTGGTCTGTCCTTGGGCACAGAAAGGAAGTCTGGAGCTTCAGTGGAGAGGGGTGTAGAGGGAGCGCTGGATGGGCCGCTACGAGCGCAGGCTGGCAGGGGCGTCTCGCTGATGGAAATAGCTGGCGGAAAGGTTCCCAGCTTCTTATTGGTGGCTTCCTGAGTGGCTCGTTCATATTCTCTCACTTCCTCTATTGTCATGTCTTTAAACATCCAAAGCAAAGGAATTTCTATTAGTGGGGTATCACTAATGTAATTTATATTGGACTAAACCAGTGGTGTTAAACTCAAGATCCTGAAGGGCAACAGTCCTGAGGAGTATAGTTCCAACATTGCTTAAATCCATCTACCTGTAGTCTTATAGTAATCCTGAAGGACTGAATGAGCTTGATCAGGTGTGTTCAATTGGGACTATGGCCCTCCAGAGGCTAAGTTTGACACCCCCTGGATTAACCAAATCCAATATAAAATCATATTCCATCTGATGTTCACGAGGCTTCCATTACCAAGCTACAGTAAAATATTTTGTCATTTTTATTTGTTTCTACAGGCAATTGTTTGCCTATTATTTATAGCTGTCTTCCTTAGTTGTCAAATCCTGGTTAATAATGTCATGATGGTGGTGAGGGGTACCTTTAATTCAGGGGTGTCCAGTCCTACTCCTGAAGAGCCACCTTCCGGCAGAGTTTAGCTTCATCACACCTTTAGTGATTCTGAAGACCTTAATTAGCTGTGTTTAATTGGGGCCAGAGCTAAACTCTGCTGAAAGGTGGCCCTCCAGGAGGAGGATTGGAGACCCCTGCTCTAATTCAACAACTCAATGAACCATTGTTTCCTCCTCCTTCACACTCGCTGCACGTTTAGGAGCTCACTGAGAACACAATGTGCTCAACAGAAGTAAAAGGGATGCTCCTTTTTTTTTTTTTAGCAGAAAACGGCTCTGCTTTCTATGTTTTGCAATCTGAACACTTTCAGTGTTCATGACTGAACAATTTGTTCAAGTCATCTAATCTAATCAGTATGGTTAAGGTCCTTGATGAGAACATGAAGAACAACTTTAAAGAGCTGAATTTCTCAGCTGAAACATCTCTTTTCTGTCTGTTTGTTCTTGCAGTGACTCATGAGACTAAACACGGTTGTGAGCTATGGCATTCGTGAGGTTTGTTAGTCACGACTCTGGGACAGAGTCAAAACAAATGAAACGGCAAATAAATGTAAAGAGATGAATAAACAGCAATCTGAAGGGAAGGCTGTGTGCATGACTGGCTGGTCAATGCCAAACTTACCAATCCACTCATCAACCCAAGCGAAAGCCTGTCTATGACCCAGCAACAGCACATCCCTCACCACCTACAGAAAAAAAGACAGGTACAAATATATGGTAATTCTGATGTTGCCAAGTAGATGTGTTCCTGGATCTTTTGTTGGTCCTGGAAAATTATTTTTGTCAAACAAACATAC